ATCGGCTGACGCATACCTCCCAGTGGTAACCATGGCCATAGGGTACGTACCTTCTGCAGTGAAGAACAGCGCACACACACACACACACACACAGACACTCTGGGTGGCTTCTTTTCTCTATGCACAGGTATGCTCTATCGGCTGATGCATACCTCCCAGTGGTAACCATGGCCGTAGGGTACGTACAGTACCTTCTGCAGTGAAGAACAGCAGTTATGTAAGCCCGCCTTGCACAATGGTGGGGAATTCATGCAAGGTCATCCATGATTGTTTTTCCTCTCCTTCCACCAGCAGAAGGAGAAGGAAGGGAGGAGGGGCGGGGAAATCTGTCACAAGTATGAAAAATAGGGACCCTTAAGGACTAGAAACTTGATGTGTTCCCTTTCAAAAGGGATTTCTTGTCTGGAGAAGGTGGGAACTGTGCACACAAAGTAGCAGCCAGGCTGAGCCGAAATCCCAGAGTGCTAAAACTGCTCTTCTCTCTAGTGAGAAGGAGCAGAAAGCCGATTAGGGGCTTGGTTTTGTAGTACCTACATATCCCAGAACTCCCCAGGTGGTTTTCTGGAGGATTCTGGGACATGGAACTGTTTGTGGGATTCTGGGAATTGTCATTGAAAAAACTCACCCCACTAATTTCAATGGTTCTGGTGAGAACCTACCCCTGCCTAGTTGTCTTCCTTCCTTCCTTCCTTTCTTCCTTCCAAGAGTAGGCTGATTTCCCCCACCCTTTTTCCCCCCTTCTTCCTCTCTTCTTTTTTTCTTACCCAAACAGGCTTTCATGAAGGAGAACTGCCTCTGATTGCTTCCTAAGCAGTTCCGTGGAAGTTTCTTGAGCTCCAACTGGTGGACCCTTAATTCAGGACTTACGATGCGGCGCCTGTTCCCATTATGCCGGATGGGCACGGTGATGGTAGGTCTAACACAGAGAAGAGAATAAGTTCTTTAAAAGGGCCCTCCACTGACTGTGCAGCCCAGCAACCCAGCGGCGTGTCATTAAACCACGGAAACACATCGCTTCCGTGGGAAATGAAGTCCGCTCCCTCCTGGGGATGTACAGCCGGAAGGCTTGGGAGTGGTTTGATGAAGGATCTGTTTGGATGTCTACACCAGCAAGGGGGGGGGTACCTTTTCTCCACCTGAGAATCAGGCAGCCAGAAAGGTTTTTAGAGGTCATCTAATCCAGCCCCACTGGTGGAGAAAAAGGGGAACCACAGGTTATTTCTTGAACTGGGTCATTTCCAGATCTTTACCAGACCATGAAAACCTGGATAATTAAATATCTCTTTCTTTCTCTCTCTTATTCTGTCTCTCTCATTTTCTCAGCCTCCCCTACCTCGCAGGGCGGTCGTGGAGGAAGGCGTCTGCCTCTTGACCTCACCGGCAGGCTAAAACTGTCAAAACAGTAGTAAAACACAGCTCACCTCAGCCCCCCTGATAGTGCTTGATGGGCTGGAGAGGGTGTGGTTCTCCGTCTGTTTCTGGATTGCAGTTCCCATCTTTCTTTGCTGGATAAGGCGAATGGGAGTTGTAGCCCAGGCACCTCTGAAGAAGCAAACACCAGACCAGAGGAATATTCATACTCTACGAGGTGTCGTACAACACGAGGTAATATAAATCATTTGGCGACACCACCTGTAAGCGGAAATCTTATTTGGCAGGTTTACAGGCAAAGAATAGACTGAAAATTGCAAACCTTGTTGTTAAGGCTGTATTGCTTACGTTTTAGCATTTCTGACATCCCACCTTGGCAATCTGTGTGAGGTTGAAAGCTAACGTATGTTTGCAGTCTCATAAAAGCATCTCCCCCACCCTTGCCTTACGGAGGGGAGGCCATGTTATCCGGTTCTTCTCCTCCTTTCTGATTTCAACCCCATGAAAACAACCTTGTAAGGTAGAGTGGGCCAAAGTGGGTGTGTGTGTGTGGGGGGAGATACTGTAAGAGAAGGCTAAATCTTTCCCGGATGCCTTCTGAGACAAAGAGGTGGTGGAGGTCGATTGCCAGTCTATCCATTTCGCTTTTTGGTGTGAACTTTGCTGCCACTGCCCGAGCTGCCAGAGCCGGCTTTGGGGGTGAGCCTTGGGAATGCTTCCTGAAAAGTTTGGAGCGGCTTCACACGGCCCGGCCCTCAATAGGTGGTGGTGGGCAGAGCATCAACCTAGGGCTCGGGAGGCCTGGGTTCGAATTCCGGCTCAGACAGGGGAACTCCCTGGTTGTTGGGGGAAATGCCAAAGGTAAAAGCTCTTTCTGAGCATCTCACGGGCCCCAAAAATCCTGTTAGGATTGCCTGAAATTGGGAGCCACTTTGGGGGCCCAGAAAGACAAAGTCAGTATCCCTAAGGCTGAATCATCCCCTTTTAAGGGGACTCTTCGAGGAGTTGCTCGAACCCCTGCTTCATTTCCCCAAAGAAAAAAAGGGAGCTTCTCTCAGGGGCCCTTTCTTCAAAAGCTGCCGCTTCCCCCCCCATGTAACCACCCCCTCCCACGACTGTCCGTCCATTCCTATACTGGGTCTTTATTTTAAAATTACCTTGCCTTCCCTTGCTTTCTCTTCTCTCAGGGGCTGTCAGTTTTATTATTATTATTATTTGTAAAAATGGAGAGGGAAGTAAAAAAGAAGAATCGGGGAATGGGGGAGGAGAGAACGAGGGAGAAAAGGAAAAAAAGGAGAAAATTGCAGACTAAAATGGATGAAATTGCTTTTTGGACAAAAGGAACTATCACAGCCCCATCAAAAGGGCAAAGGAGGCTGGGAGGCCAGGAGGAGGCGAGCCTCTCTCTCGCCTACCCCTCCGAAGCGGCTGCATGGCCTTGCCTGGCACTTTCGGAGCAATTAAGTGGCTCCAAGGAGAGACACCTCGGTTCATGTGGGGGGGGGGAGGATAAGGAAGGGAGGAAGGAGCTGATCATGATTAGAAGGAAGGAAGGTTTGTCAAAATAGAGCTAGAGTTGAAAACCAGATCCCACCAAGGACCCTAAGTCCTTATTCTGAAGCTTTGCTGGGGGAGAGGGGGGGAATCTTGAGGCCAGGCCACTCCTCCCTTCCATCCATCATCAGCTCTTTCCTTTCATCCATCAGTCACCAGCTCCTTCCTTCCTTCATCAGCTGGTTGTTTCCTTCCTCTCATCTTTCTTTCTTTCTTTCTTTCTTTCCCTTTTCTCTCCTCTTCCTTCCTTCCTTCCTTCCTTTTTTCTCTCTCTTCCTTCCTTCCTTCATCTGCTCCTTCCTTCCTTCCTTCCTTCCTTCCTTCCTTCCTTCCTTCCTTCCTTCCTTCCTTCCTTCCTTCCTTCCTTCCTTCCTTCCTTGTGAGTGTAGCGGGGCTGAGAAAAGAGCCTTCCCTGAAGATCTCACAACCTACAGCGGGGCAGCTTGGAACCCATGGATGCAGGGTTCCTATTATATCAGTTTCGTTGTTGATCTCCCCATACTTCTTTCTAAACCTGTATTTTCTTTAAAATGCTGGTTGGTGGTTTTTTTTCTCAATGCTCAAGACAAGAGGAGTCCTTGGCCCACGGAAATCCAAGGGAAATCAAAAGCAGAGTGACTTCTTTCAGATTTCTCCTCGGGTGGAGGAAGAACCGAGCGACCTTTGGCAGCGTGGCAAAAGATCAGCAATGAATTGGGGTGGGGGGCGGGGGTGGTTTGGAGCTAAATGACCTTCTTTGGTTTCTGATTCAAGGAACTCACAGACGTTTCTTTCTAGCATGGAAGCCGAGCAAAGAAGGGGACATCTGGGGAAAGGAAAGGCACCCCGACTTCTTTTGGCCTGATTCTGATTGGAAGACTAGTGATTTTGTTGTTCTGCCTTATCCGAGAGACAACAAATCACAGCCTGCCATCCAGAACTGGCCCATGCTCACCACGATCCCCCACCAGTCCACCCTTGCCGCCTGGCTTCCTCTTCCTTCATACCAGAGCCTTCTCCTCCTCCTCCTCCTCCTCTCCCAGAACACGGTGTCGGGATTGATCAAATGGGTTTCTCTATTGCCTCTCATCTGGGACCTTGTGCGATTCTGCCTTAATCAAACTGGGAGGGAAAGGAGGCTGGCTGCTGTTTAAAAAGGTATTTAAAAGTTGAGCACTTGTACATAGCTTGCAAAACGAAGACCGCGCAGGCCATCGCTGCAGCCATCCTCTAGAAAAAAAAATCAGGAACAAACCCTGGATATAGATTCCTGGAACGATGGATTCCGAAAGCGCCTAGAAGGCCATATTTGGTGTATCTTTATTTATGTGTGTGTTTATTTATTTATTTTTCCCATTGGCAGATTTTGTGTGCAGCCATGATTTAGCGCAGGGTTCGGTTTTAACGAACGGCGGTGGGTGTTTGGGTGTTTGGGTGCTTACACATGCACAGATTATTAGAATGGGTGTGAATGGTGCATACGATAGAGAATTAGGTAGGTGGGGAAATGAATGAATGGTTGTGTGTCTGTTTGTGTGACCAATGCAACACCCAGTGGTGACCCCACATGCACGGCCCTTCTTAAAGCAATCATGCTTTAAGAATGCATCCCAGTCAAAACTAATAAAACCTACAATTATCAGCTTTTAAGTTAATACACTCTTTGTACAGCTGAAATAGTGTTCCTGTTGGTGTGATAAGAAAAAGATCCTGTCTTTTAAATTTACAGTGCTTCTTAACCTTGGGTTACTCAGGTGTTTTTGAACTGCAACTCCCAGAAACCCCAGCCAGCATAGCTGGTGGTGAAGGCTTCTGGGAGTTGCAGTCCAACAACACCTGAGTAACCCAAGGTTAAGAACCACTGCCTTAAATCAACTTGAAATCATGGGTGGGCCGTTTGTGGACCTCCAGTTTAAAACCTGGTTAATGCTCACGGCAAGCTCACTGGATTGTGTGAATAAAGCCGTTTCAAACTGGGAGGGTTGGGGTCCCCCCCCCGTGGCTTGGGCTGCCATGCAACAAATTTTGGAACCTGGATTATAGCAAATGCAAGACATAGCATGGGTTCTTGCTCCCTCTAGTAGTCCAGTTTGGTAACTTCACCTTTAGAAATACTGTATATATTCCTAATATTTTTCTTTTAATATTCTCCCACTGTGGATCAGTGAATCTGTGGATACTGGTCCCGCAGATAAGGAAGTCCCAGCATAGATGTTGTCATTCTTCACCTCCCAACCATACTAGAGTAAAAGAGGTCCTATAAGAGGTAGGTTCCTGCGCCCTTGCGCTTGTCTTATTTACGACTCAAATCCAGGGCGGACGGTCCCAGCTGGGATTTCATGGTGGGAGTCCTAGTCTGGGAAATTTTTATAATGGGAGTTGTAGTCCAAGTCCACAGTGGCTACTAGGGCATCTCTGTTGCCAGCTCAAATTGAGAAACTGTCTGGATGTGGTGGATTTGGGTGCCGTGAAATGCGGGCGACAAGCCAAGTCTTGAAACATCCCTTCTTTCTTTCGAGGGTGGTGGTGGCTAGTGGACCTACAACTCCCAGAATCCACTCATCCACCCAGGGGAGCTGTCATGCGGACATGAAAAGAGGATTCTGGGCACTGTAGTCTAGAGGAAAGGTGCTATGGGTGATTTCCTGTGTTTCTTGGACTCCCAATTCCCAGAATGCAAGCATTTCCTTGCTCAAATCTATATAGGGCTTTTCCTCCTATACAAGACAGTTGTGTGCATGCCCGTGCATAGTTTATCTCCCCTTGCAAAGAAACCCTGCAAGGTAGAGTAACTGGAAAAGCCAGAGCCTTTGAGATGCAATGGTTTGGCACTCTGACATTGGAGATATAGTTCACCTTTGCAATGAAAGTCTTGTTTGCTCATCCTTAAATGTTGCTCACTCCTTCGTAGACCCTGGGTGAGTGTGTGTGTGTGTGTGGGGAAATACACTGAATTTTTGAATAATTTTTGGAACACAATCCCACCCAAATCCAGCTGCTCTAGGGGTCTCGGGGGGAGTGTTGTCTGCTGTCAGCGAAGGAACAGAAAAGGGATGCAAATTCATAGGAATGGATTAAACTTCCTCTCCACCGTGTGCATCTGGTGAGTCGTGTCCAAAAAGGGGGTATATCATGATCACCTCCCCCGGTCGCCCTCTTTCTAAGGTTCAGTTTTTCCCCTCCTTTGGCTCCAACCTATGCAAACCCTTTCAGGTGGTTTGCTAGAAAATGTAACCTCCCCCAACAAAATCCCTAATGAAAAATAAATTAAGAGGCACCCCAAAAATGATCTCAAAAGGAGAGAGGAAAAAGCAGGGAGGCGATGGTGCCAGTTTTAAGAGCCGAGGTCGGCCGCTTTGGCCCCTAGTCAATTTCCCGGCCTCCCGAGGAGGACCGATCCTGTCCCGAAAGTCCTCCGAATCAGGGTGACCCTTTTAGGGTTTCCAATATGTGTTGAGATATTTGAGGAGGGGTTTTGTCTAAGTGGCTTTCCAAGCTGGAGTGGGGGGGGGAAGGCAGCTGGAAGTGCCCCCCGAAAAAGTTTGGCTTCTTTGTCACATCGTTTGGAGAAATTCTATAGCTTTGGAGGAAATATCCTTGTTCTGAAAAAAAAAAACATGCTTTATACAGGTAGCCATACTAACATCCTTCTTTGCAAATTGTATTAGTACAGTAGGATCCACATATGCACGGCAGATCGGTTCCAAGCTGCCCCCCCCCCGTGTATGTTGAAAAATGCAGATGATAGAAAACACAATTTTAATAGTGAATTCTATACATCGCATGATCTTTGGCCCCCCTGCAGTGGCCAGTTCTGGTAATGGCACTGTGGGAATTATAAAGAGCGTTTAACATAGTCTCTGGTGTCCCCTAGTGGTCAGTTCTAGTGACTTCACCTTTAGAAATCTATACAGTATTTCTAGGACTTTGCTTTTCATATTTTTCAGATCGTGGTGAAGTGTATCCTCGGATACTGATCCCATGGTTAAGGGGGGGGGCTACTATAGTCATCTCACAGAGCAGGGCAATATGAAAGTTTTATAAATAAATAAATAGATAGATAGATAGATAGATAGATAGATAGATAGATAGATAGATAGATAGATAGATAGATAGATAGATAGATAGATAGATAGATAGATAAATAGATAAATAGATAAATAGATAAATAGATAAATAGATATTTGAAGACAGACCAGAGACTGCAAGATCTCCATCTAGCGTGAGGCCCCGGATGAGCCTGGAACAAGGCAAGGCTGTCCCCAAACATTTCCCCACCTGCACTCCGTTCCCTCTCCATTGAATCTCGTGATGAGGACTGTCGCGAGTTCTAATCCACGCCGGATGAAATTAAAAGGAGGAAGCAGATGAGGATGATGGGTTTACCGAATGTTACCACGCCAACATTGTTTGCACTTAGGCCCTCCTTGAGGTGTGAGCGGCTCCATGCCATACCAAGTTTATTAGTTTATTTGTCTTATTTCTTGCTTCTACAGCTCACCCTTCGGGCAAGCAAGAAAGGGGGGATGGCCTGCAAAGTCAATTGCACAGCGCGTTAAGAAGGTGGAGATGATACAAAGGGTAAGGAGACAATCTGGGTGGCAGGGAAGTGCCATAACAAGGGGGTGATCAAATCACACCTCTGGGCCCCCGTGCGAAACCCCCTGAAAAATTATCTGGAGCAGTGGAAACCACGAGAAGGCTAGGAATACAAGGCAGCGGGAAAAGAGGAAGGCTGGATGTGGGTGGGACGGGCTGCCTAAAGGAAGCCACGGCTTTGGAGTTTGGAGGCACCAAGCGGGGCTCTTGAGGAGATGATGCTTTGGAGGTTGCTGGACAGCATGTAATAAGAAAGCAATACTGAGATGGTCTAATCTGGAAGGAAAACCTGTGTTTCCCTTTAAATCCTGAAATTCTTTCAAGACCATGAGGACTAAAATCTCTAATTTTAGGAGAAAGATGATTTGTTCTTCCTCTCCTTGCCCGCCCAGAGAGGTTCAGCCAGAGATTGCCTTTGGGTGGGAGTTCTGTGTAGGGGATGTGGGTGGGAATGTTTTCTAAAATACTGTAAAAGGTTTCAATTTTTAAAAAAGATACATATTTTATTTTCTCATCCAAAGCGAACAGGTTTGGGATCACAACGTGTCACAAACGTAAGGGAGGGAATCGATGAATGGATAGGATGGGAGGAGTGGTGGCTGGGGATGATGGAACATGTAGTCATGCGTTGGGGGATGTTGGAACAGCTGTCTATATATAATAATGGGGGCAGCCTAGATGACTCTAAGGGGATCCCAAAGTGCTTCACTCTCCAGGAGGAGCCCTTAAGATCTCAGCCGGACCCCATCCCTAGGAGAAAAAAACCCTCTTTAAGCCATTTATTGCACCCGAAATACATTTCCCACAATTCCTTAGGCTCGTCGCCTCCTTCCCAGAAATCCTTGCGCTCCCCCTTCTCTTTGGTAAGCGACATCCCCTCTCTCAGCAACCCGGCGACCAATAGCAGAGTAGCCCCTGGCCCACGCCCGGACTGCGTTTCCCGACAGCCCTTGGGCGCAGGACACCCCTCCCCTCCTCTTCCCAGCCTCCCTTTCTGCCCGGCCAGACGAGCTGAGCGGACGGCTCGCGCGAGAGCTGCCGGGAAACGTAGTCCTCCTGCGGGGCCCCTCCATGTCCTCCGCCGGGAGCCGGACTACCTTTCCCGGCGTGCCTTTCCGCCGCCCCGGCGGGGAGGGGCGGGCTGGCCGGCGAGCTCCGCCATTTTGTTTTCGCTCGACCGGGTTTAAGATGGCGCCGTGTGGAGGCAGAGCCTGAAGGTTGCCTAGGCAAGGGAGGAAGGAGGAGGAGGGCTGGTTGCTAGGTGACCAATCCTCAAAGCGCCCCCGTCCCCGCTCAGGCCCTTTGCAGGCCTCCCTGGGGAGCGAAGGCTTCCCTGCCGGGCGGAGGAAGGGCGGGGAGGGGGTCCCACGCTTGCGGCTACACGCCCGGAGACCCCGAGGGGCGCCTGGGCCCCGGGAGCAGCGGCGGCGGCCGGACAAAATATTAATTTTTATCTACTTGTACTGATATAAGAATTTAGTCATCTTTTTTCCTCCTCTACTACTCACAGTTGTTGTTATTGAAGCTCTAGGCCCCAAAAGGAAGTTTTATATACATTGTTATTATGCATCTTACTAGCCTTCCAAAAAAATCAAGCTCCATTTTGTCTATCACTCTCTTAAAACCCCTTGTTTTGTGTGAGCAGCAGTAGATGGGACGGCCACCGGGAGGTGGTGGAGTACCTGCTGGACCACTGCGGGGCCCAGGTGGACGCTGGCGGCTCGGTCAACTTCGACGGGGAGACCATCGAAGGGGCGCCCCCGCTCTGGGCAGCCTCGGCCGCCGGACACCTGCCGGTGGTCCGGAGCCTGCTGGAGCGCGGGGCCGGCGTCAACCAGACCACCCTGACCAACTCCACCCCCCTGCGGGCCGCCTGCTTCGACGGCCACCTGGAGATCGTCCGCTACCTGGTCGGGGAGCGGGGGGCTGACCTGGAGGTGGCCAACCGCCACGGCCACACCTGCCTGATGATCTCCTGCTACAAGGGCCACGCCGAGATCGCCCGCTACCTGCTGGAGCACGGGGCCGACGTCAACCGCCGCAGCGTCAAGGGCAACACCGCCTTGCACGACTGCGCCGAGTCCGGCAGCCTGGAGATCCTGCGCCTGCTGCTGGCCGCCCGAGCCCGCATGGAAAAGGACGGCTACGGCATGACCCCGCTGCTGGCCGCCAGCGTGACCGGCCACACCAACATTGTGGAGTACCTCATCGAGGGGGCCCTGGAGGAGGAGCCCGCGGATGGGCTGGAGGGAGACGGCGAGAGCGACGGCGCAGGGGCCGAGGGGGGCCGGAGCCAGGTTTACTGCACCCGGGAAGCGGCGGTCGAAGCGCTGGAACTCCTGGGAGCCACTTTCGTGGACAAGAAGCGGGACCTCCTGGGAGCTCTCCGGCACTGGCGGAGAGCCATGGAGCTGCGGCACCAGGGGGGCCAGTATCTTTCCAAGCCGGAGCCTCGGCAGTTGGTGCTGGCTTACGACTACGCCCGGGAGGTGAAGACCGCGGAGGAGTTGGAGGCCTTGGTCACCGATCCGGACGAAATGCGGATGCAGGCCCTGCTGATCCGGGAGCGGGTCCTCGGCCCCTCTCACCCGGACACGTCCTACTACATCCGCTACCGTGGCGCCGTCTACGCCGATTCGGGCAACTTTGAGCGGTGCATCAACCTCTGGAAGTACGCCCTGGAGATGCAGCAAGGCAATCTGGAGCCCCTGAGCCCAATGACGGCCAGCAGCTTCCTCTCCTTCGCCGAGCTGTTCTCGTACGTCCTCCAGGACCGCTCGAAGGGCACCCTGGCCACCCAGCTGGGCTTCTCGGACCTCATGGGCGTCCTCAGTAAAGGCGTCCGCGAAGTGGAGCGGGCCCTCCTGCACCGGAAGGACACGGTGGCTGACAGTGCCCAGTTCACCAAAGCCCTGGCCATCATCCTCCACCTGGTCTTCCTCCTGGAGAGGGTGGAGTGCACCCCCGAGCAGGAGCACCAGAAGCGCCAGACCATCTACCGCTTGCTGAAGTGCAACCCTCGGGGCAAGAATGGCTTCACCCCGCTGCACATGGCGGTGGACAGAGACACCACCGCCGTCGGCCGCTACCCGGTGGGGAAGTTCCCCTCCCTCCACGTGGTGAACCTCCTGCTGGAGTGTGGCGCCGACCCCGACAGCCGCGACTACGACAACAACACCCCACTCCACGTGGCCGCCCGCAACAACTGCCCGCTCATCATGAGCGCCCTGACAGAGGCCGGGGCCCACATGGATGCCACCAACGCCTTCAAGCAGACGGCCTACGAGCTCCTGGACGAGAAGCTTCTCACCAAGGCCATGATGCAGCCCTTCAACTACATCACCTTGCAGTGCCTTGCCGCCCGCGCCCTGGACAAGCACAAGATCCCCTACAAGGGGTTCATCCCGGAAGAGCTGGAGGCCTTCATTGAGCTCCATTAAGAAGGGGGCAGGAGGGGAGGGACACACGCTTGCTCCCGCACAGCTCTGTTCTCGACACTCGGTGGTCAGGATCCGGGGAGGGGCATAGCGTTGCAAAATCTTAGTCTTCCTCTGCTTTGAATCTGAAAGCTCTCCTTTGGGGTCTGGACTGATTTATACAGCCTCTCTCTTTCCTCTCTCCCCTTGTGACCGGAGGAGCAGAGATTGCTTTTAAAAAATATTGTTTTTAACACTTGTCACGGCCGGCATCGACACCTTTTAGCCCCCAGTGAGTCCCAGGATCTCAGCAAGGTCCCTTTCCTTCCACTCGGGGGCTGGACTCGATGATCCACAGGGTTTCTTCTAGCTTGGCCGTTCTAAGGTTAGTTTATTATTATTTATTCCAGCCCAGAGCTTGGAGCAAAACGGGCTCTTGCTGGCTTTTTTAGTCCTCTCATAAACCCCATTGGGCACCTCCGGTGCTCTGGGCCACTGTGAAACGAAAAGGCTAGCCCACCCTCAGGGCGGCAGCCAGAGGCTTGACCTCGGGTGACCTCCTCCAAGCGTCAGACTTGCACACACACACACACACACCCCGTGGACAGCCAGAAGGGAGGAGCGCGGGCTGGCCGGTGGGGAAGTGTAGATTCCCTGCTCGCTGCCTGCTGCCATCTGTTCTTAAAAACACTGACAGGAGTTCTTCGTTTGATCGGCTTTTTTTTTTAAAGCTTGCTTTATAACTGGGGAGCTGCTGATTTTGCACCCTTGCCTTGCTGCCCTTCCTCTGTCCCATGGAAATCTTGAAATGGCATTTAGGATTTCAGGGAATCTTTGAAAGCGTCTTAAAGTTCCTCTTCTCCTCTCCTTCCCCTCCCCCCAGTTTTTTTCCCCTCTCCAAGCATGGGCTGCTTGTTCAGCACTGAGCGGGAAGTTATTTACATTGCTGCTTGCACCCGGGGCCAAGCGGAGTGCCGTGGGTTGGGGTGGCGTTCTGGGCTTGGATTTCTGGCTTGGCCCCGTCGCATCTGCTGAGATTTCACTGGCTATATTTGAAAAAGCTTTGAGTGGTGGCGATTCTGTTTGTTGGGGCACAGGCATATGTTTCAGGCACTGCACTAGCGCTGGCAGAAGTGGCCAAAAAAAACAAAACTAAAATCCCAAACTTAACAGCTGGGTTTCGTGTGGGATGGAAATGGTGCCACCGATGGGCCCCACCATAGCCTCACCTCTCTCTCGGAAAGTCCCCCATTTCCAGGGAGGGGGATCTGGTGAAACTTGGAGAGATCAGGACCCTCCAAGGCATGTGAGTCCCCCTTTCAGGGTTACAGTAGGAACCCCTTATTCGTGGGATCAGGATCCCCTGATTGATTCACTTATCTACGTATGTTCTGAAAATATTAAATGAAAAATCCTAGAAATATATCTAAAGATGTAGTCATCAGAATTGTCCACCAGAGGGAACCAGAGACCATGTTTATTATTACAGTATTGCCTAGAGAAATACACTTCTGAGATGTCACTATCAGAACCGGCCATTAGAGGAAGACACAGACCATGCAATGTACAGTATATTTATTATTTTATTTTATTAGACTTCTATCCTGCCCATTTAGAACATAAACTAGCGTTCACTATAATCCACGCTTTTCAGCATCCACAGGATGGCTTGGAACCAATGCCCCACGAATATGGGGGTCCTACTGTATTTTCCCATCCCTACTTTATGTGTGGCTTAAACTGGGTCAGCGGCTATCACAGGGAGATGAATCGGGTTGTGTTTGGAAAAGGATTGGGTGCCTGGATCCTTTGTGGGCTGCCTTTTTTTTATTGTTTACTTATTTATTAGCAGAAGAGAGCCAGGGCAGGGTCCCCTTTGCTATTCCAGGCACGAAGGGCTTGCCTCTCGAATGGATTTGATCTTGTGAATATTATGAGGGGGGGAGTGTGGTGTGTGTGTGGTGGCTGGCAACGCTTTGCTGCCAGTGGTTCTTTGGCTTGTGGATATGGTGGCAGACCTTGTTTGGGAAGCTGTTCGGAAGGAGTAGGGGAGAACCCTTTTGAGATTAGGCTGAGTCTCAAGAAAAACTTCCTGACTGTTAGAGCAGTAGGACAATGTGAGACCCGTGATCTCAAGGGGGAGGGGGTGAGCGGTCCAGTGCTGGAGGCCTTTAGGATAAATTTAGACAACCAGCTGACAGATCTGCTTTGGTCTGGATTCCTGCCTTGAGCAGAGGGTTGGACTGGATGGCGTCTGAGCCCCCCTTCCAACCCCATGATTCCATGATCCCAGGACAGAGAAGTCGAGGAGAAAAATGGGTGTGGGATGGCATGGTGTCATGTCCAGTGTTTACTTGTGGCTGAAATAGAAATGTAAAGTTTTCCCCCCCAAAATTCATTTTTTTCCCTGGGTAGTTTTTTTTTTCCCCAGGGGAAAAATTGAACTTTTTGGAAATTTTACACCTCTCAGATATCTGAACGGAGCCTGCCAGCTTTAGGGTCTGGTTGATCCCAGGTGCATCACTTTCCTCCAGCAAAGGCGAGAGATATCCCGAGCCTCAGTGGGCCCGTGGCTTGTGGGGTTTTGCACTGTGGGATGCAGGTGGTTTCCCCCGATGGGCTTTTAAGGGCACTTCAGTCTATAGACAACACAAGGCGGTTGGGAGCAAGCTCTTGGCAGGCCCCGGGTCGCAAACGCGGCAGCCCAGCGCCCCCCGAGCATCTGTGGCATGTTTTTTTCTGTGGTTCTTTCAGCCAGCTACGGGGGGGAAAAACCCACCATCAACCCTCCATGCAGCCAGTCTGCTGTCTCGACCCCAAGGAGTGGTGTTTTTGCTCTTGGTGGAGTTGGAACGAGAGAGAGGATACGTTCCAAGTGTTGTAAGAGTCGTCCCATACCTGTATTTTTTTTCTCCCCTGGATTAGGAGAATATCTAGATTTCAGCACATCTTTTCTTGGGACGTAAGCATCGCACAGGAACCACAAAACCCTTCTTTCCCTTCCCTCTCTCTCCTCTCTCGGCGGGCTTGGGGGACTTCTGTGGGGTCGGCCCATTTCGGTCCACGCAGCGTTAGAAGCAAAGGACCCTCCTGACAGTTTGCTTTTTTTCCTGAAGGTTTTCAGGTTGCCGTTGGTTGTTCTCCCCCACCCCCCACCCTGCTTTTCATTTTCTCATTTTTGCTTTTTTCGGTTTTGGCTGTCGGGGGGAATTTAAGTTCCTTTTACAACTTTGAGGGGGGGGGCAGGAAAAAAACATAAACCACAAGCTGCTGAAACGTGTGAATAATTGCAAGCCAGCACTCCTGACTTGAAATAAATAAACCCAGAGGTTTTGGGGGGGGATTAAAAAACAACAAAATAAAATAAAGAAAACAAAGTTATTGCTGCTAAAATCTACAAACGTCTTCCGGTTCTTTTTGGATTTGCACATAGCTGTGGGGGGGGGCTGGAATGGGTTTGCTTGCTTTATCAGCATGACAGGGGTGGGAAAGAAAGGGTTTTGTGTATTCGCGAAGGCTTTCATGGCCAGGATCTAATGGTTGTTGTGGGTTTTTCTGGCTCTTTGGCCATGTTCTGAAAGTTGTTCTTCCTAACGTTTCACCAGTTTCTGTGGCCGGCATCTTCAGAGGACAGGACTCAGAACTCTGTCTGTGCTCTGTTGCAGTTTGAACAACCTTCAGAACACGGCCAAAGAGCCTGAAAAACCCACAACAACCAAAGGGTTTTGTGTCCGTGACAAAGCACGCCACCAACAGAAGACTGGCCGATGGATTGTGTAGTCCATCACCCAGAGCCGGATGACCCGGAAAGTAGCTCACGAGCATCCAAGCCAACTCTTCTCAACGGGACCCAGTTCTTCACGCGCCACCTTATCAGCTTTGTTATGTGACTTATGCAAATCCTGATACAGCCTGTGTTTTTCACGCTGTCTTTATGGCCGTGGCAAAAAAAAGTTTGAGACCCCTTCCAACTCCATTGATTCTCTGATTCTATGAGTTCCAATAACCCCAATGGGCTCTATGAGGTATCTGACACATTTAACAGGTGATTTTACCATTGCCACTTCCCTGGGGAGTTTCTGTGGGTGATCGGAGATTCGAACCCAGGTATTCCGCGTCCTCCTCTGGCCTTCTGCACCGCAGTGTCCCTGACAATACAGTGGGGTCTGTTCATGTCCTTCCTTTCCCCTTTGTGAGTTTGAACTAGTCCAAAGCGCTTGTTCCCCCCACCATTGCATCCCCACAACCGCCCTGCGAGGTGGATCAGGCCCCCCCCACTGCTCAGCAAAGACGAGACCCAGCCCCTCCCGAGACCTGGTTCCGTTTTTAAACCCGGCTGGTCGAGGAAACCTTTGCAGATGGACTTTGGAGCTACCACCAGCTTCTGGTGAATTTACCCCCCCCCTTCCAATAAAAGCAACCCAAAAGCTTCAGAAAAAAAGAGAAGTTAGGTCTTTTATTGAAACAACATATTTCTTCTAAATGAGATGTTAAACACCCACTATTATCATTGCACAATTTTTCACATTTGAAAAGCTTCTAGCCTCCATGCTTCACCGCCGGCCTTGGTTGTAAAAGGATGTATCAGCCACCTTTAAACGAAGCCCTGTCCCACCCCAAGCCTCCACCAGTTGCCAGCCTCACAATTGCCGATGGCCAGCAGGACCAGTGGTTAGTGAGGCTGGCTGTTGGAAGTCCAATGCATTTTAGCAAAGGGCCAGTAGACTACGTCCCCATGTCTAGCGAAGAGTGGTAGAGGATGATATTTTAAGAATGATACGGCCACGTGGGGACTTTGGTTCGTGATTCTTCTCCTCTTCAGGCCGAGGAAGCGAATATTATTTGTGAAACCTTGCGTTTAAGGTTTGATTTTTCGAGTGGTTTGCATAGAGGGACCCCCTCTTCTGCTATAGGATTACGTCTGGAAGGCGTAGGGTTTGAAGATCCACCCCGAACAACTAAGCCTTCAGGTGCATGCACACCCTTGCCCTGGGTGAGGGCGGAGGGTTGCTTTCTCTTAGGAAAGTCCGTTAGTTGTGGCCATAAACCCAACGCTGTCTTCAGGATCCACTCCGCCTGCACGGTTGCAAGATGGACCTGGTGTGTCTGCACTTCACAGTTGTATCCATTTGGTGCCAAAGTCCTGGCTCCGATCCTGGGGGATCCTGAGAGTTGTACTTCGCCAAGAATTCGAGGGGATTTGTTAGAAATGCGAATCGCTCACTATGCTAGAAACTCCAGGACTCCTTTTATCCATGGAGCCGTGGCAGTGAAACTGGTAGTGAACGAGTACCTCTTGGTTGTGCAGAGACCACCTCTTGCAACACAGGCCTCCTCACGAGCAGGCCCATTCGCGTCTGCCTGCATAAGCTGGCCCAGGACTGCAACTTTTCCTTGGGCTTCAGCAAACGTTTGGCCCACAGTGAAGGAGTTTTATTGGTCAATTAATCGGAGAGGCTCTCTGGATCCTTTGTCCTGATTTGTGTTGTTAAAGAAAGTTTTCATTATTAGACAGACTTTTGTAGCCAAGGAGGAAGAATAGCAGGAGGCCAGCTTTTTCTTGGGTCAGGATGAGAAGAGATGATTGCTCGGCAAAAGAGCACACAGAGCTGGGTTCAAGTTCTGCCATTTTTGGGAAAAGCCGCCGGATTGCTCTGCTTCACACATCAGGAGACCTGCTGGCCACGAGAGGAAGCTGCATGCCTCGCTGTGGTAGATGGTGGGACTCATTTGCCACCCTACAGAGTATGTTTTTTTAAATTGCCCGAAAACGGAACTGGAAGAAACAGGAAAGAATCTGTCCCACCTGAGATTCTGGAAGGAAGAGCAGCTGCCGGTCAGAGCAGGCGGTGCAAGGCAGCCAAGCAATCCAGCTGAAGTCCTGAGTCAATTTGGAAAGGAGGGGACCTGTTTCACAAGGCAGGATCCTAGGTTTGATCCTCAGTAGCATTGGTGGAGGAAGAGGAAGAGAGAAGTCGTAGAAAGAGCCCTTAATTTTCAGCCGCCATGTCTCCTCCCTGACACGGCCTTCCACCCCTCAGTCCTCTCCACCGTCTTCATCCGCTGTGCTGAGCGTTGGGTCGATCCTGTCCGCCTGCATGCGGTTATAGTCTCCGATCTGGATCATCTGAGCGTTCTGGATGATGAACTGGGGCTGAGGCCCGCCGGAGCCCAGGGAGAGCATCCACGGCTGAGTCAGAGAGGGATGATCGGGAGGCTGGCCCATCCTGGGAGCAGGGAACGGCGTAGCCGCAAAGGCTGGTGGCGGCGGGGATCCAGAGGGATCCTGGAATCCCGGAAAGCCCCCCAGTGGTGCCCGAAGGCGCTCGTTGGGGCTGAGCTCAGAGAGACGTCTCAGCATCTGCTGGTACTCGTGCTCCCGTTCCCGTTGTCGGCGGATTTCTTGGGCCCGGCGCAGAGTGCTCCACATAGCTTTCTTCTCTTGGATCGCCCTTGCGGTGAAGGTGTTCTGGACCCTCTTTCTGAAAACGGGGGAGTTTTCGTCCATGGCGACCAGCCCGGCCAGCAGGGTGGGCATCTCCTTGAGTGGGATCGGGTTCTCCTTGGGAACAAACGGGATGACCGTGTTTCTTTTGCATAAGCGCTGGAAGGAGTCCATCAGGGCCACGCTGGTCTGGTAGGCGCACAACCGGCTCTGGAAGTTCTCCGTCAGGAGCAGGAGGGTGAAGGCCGAGTTGTCCAGAGCATTTTGGAAGCAGCCGAGCGGGCAGTGTCCTGGCACCAGGAAATCTTCGCTGTACGTGGCTCCGTCAGAGACACCCAGGCGTTCCAGCTCATTCTTCACCCGGCAGGCCACCTCCTCATCTTCGCCAGCGTGCAGGACCACAAAGCTAAAGAACTGGCTCTCGTCCCCCGCTGGAGCCCCCAGCGAGGAGCCGGGCGGATGTGGCGAGGGGGCAGAGCCGGGATAATCTTGCGGTTCAGCTTCCCCCTTCTTTGGAATCGGGGCAGAGGGACCGTCAGTCGAGGCCGGGGACCACCTTGCAGGGTTGGGCAAGCCGGACTGTGGCACAGAGGGGTTGCCCAGATTTTCTGGGAGACCTTTGTTGGGAGCCTGCGGCCCTGTGGCAACGGCGTTTGGGGGCTCCGTGCCATGCATCGGGCGCTGAGCGTCTCCCTCCGCAGACCGGGCCGCTTGAGGGTGACTTGGACCTGGCAAACAGGGCGGGTTGCTTTTGAAATTGCCTGTACTTGTGTTCTCTGGCTTGGTGTCTTTCATATAGGAGCCGTGCTGGGCGGGTGGCTCAAGGCCAGCTTCCCCTTCACCAGCTGATCCCAGGCGAGCGGAGGTGTTTCCACCGACCGCACCGGTCCCGGCGCTGGGCCCTCGGTCTGAACCGGTGCCACACTGCATGGTCGTGGCCGGGCTAATCTCAAAGTGACTGACAAAGGAGAGCGGGGTGCCGGTGGAGCGCAACGAGCGGGGATCTAAGGAGCTTGGGATCAGCCCCGGGTGGCTTCCCACCGGCAGGGATGGGGACCCACCACCATGATCTCCTGAGAGCAGGGCAGTGAAACCCACCCCACATTTCTCCTGCGTTTCATCCGAGAGGCTCTTTAGCTGGTCTGTGTCCGCACCGCTCATCTGAAAAGCTCGGACCGCAACCCGGTAGGCCTCGTCTCTGGCCGGGGGCTGGCACAGTTTCTCCTCCGCCAGAAGCGAGTAGATCCGAGCCACCGCCAGCGCCACCTCTGGGTCTGGTTGGGGGGGAGCGAAGTTGGCCTTGCTCGCCAACGAGCTGCCCCAGTGGCTTCGGTAGATATGGGCCGCCACCAGGTCGTAACCCAAAGCGTCCAGGCTCTCTCGGGCCTCCGCCTCTTCCCTCAAGGTCAGCAGGATCATGGCGCGCAGCAGACGGCAGATCCTCCGGTCATGCGGCCTGTGGGCCAATTCATGCTTGTACCAGACCAGCTTGTCCCGCGGGATCTGAGCTAGGATTCCAAAGATCCCTTCCATGCTCGGAGGCCCATTGGCCCTCTCCGCCATCTTTCCCAACAATCTACGGAAGCACCGCCTCGGTGGCGGAGGAGCATCTTACGCCTCGGAGGGACGGCGTGGGTGCAGAAGCGAGGCGGTCATCCCCAGAGCCGACAGGTTTGATGAGGCCAGGCAGGGTCGGCGGGTTAATGCTTCGGTCCGGGGGGTGGGCGGATGCTTGCGTCGATCTTCCGTGATCCCTTCAAAAAAGGGAGCTTGGAGAGAATCAGCTTGCCTCCCGTGTCTGCTTGCCCGCCCAAGAGACCTGAAATGAAGAAAAAAGAATGAAAAATACATCAGTTGAGTTTGGGCACTCCCTATTAAGCCGTGGCCTTCAAGGCAGTGTATGCTAGCTGAGTTTTTCCACCATATGTCCCATACGTGGGGCACAGTCAGAATGTGGCACTGGGGCCACCCACAGCCTCACAGGGTTATTTTCGTGGCTCGCGTCTCAGTGACACCGTTGCCTCGGCCCTACCAGAACGGTGCCCCCCCCCGATCCCTGCAGAAATGGTCAGTGGTCACGCTCCGAACTCTCCCGGATCAGCCCCTTTTAAAATCCATCCCACAGACTGCCCTGCCAGGTCTTGACAACAACAACAGCCGCTGACAACCCGTTTTTCAAAACCGGCCGTGGATTTTTCAGCGCTGTGCAGACTTGTTTGTTGTTTACACACACACAGACACACACACTTTTGTTTGGTCGTCTCTGTGAACCCCAAAGGATTCGCATGTGCGTAAAATCAGCCCCTTGGATGTGCCGGAGTGGTTTGGCTCTGCCACAGATGCTCAGGTAAGGAACCCTTTAAGGACCGAACAGGGTGGATCTGCTGGAAAAGGGACGCCGGTCAGACTAGCGAGGGGTTGCCGATGAAGATTTTGGGGCAAGAAGAAGGGGGGGGAAAGGAGGGTGTCCGAAAAATCGGGAGAGGCTTTAGCCCTGGGTTGAAAACAGCAGGATGGAATTTGACAGGGGTAAGGGCAAAGCCCTACTCAGAGAGCAAAAAAAACCCAAAAAAACCAAAAAAAACAAATGCACAGCTACAAGATGGGGGGGCATGCAGCTCAACAGTACTACGAGCGAGGAGGATTCCTGAATGGTTGTTGATCACAAGCTGAAGATGAGCCCACAGTGCAATGCGGCTGCACAAAAGGCCAATGCGATTTTAGAATGTGTTAGTAGAAGTAGAGTCTCCAAATCCCACGAGATACTCATTCCCCTCCATTCAGCACCGGGTTAGGCGTCCTCTGGAGTCCTGTGTTCCAGTTCTGGACACTGCACTTTAAAAAGGATGCCAATAAACTGGAGTAAGTTCAGAGGGGGTCAAGGAGGAGGATCAGGGGACTGGAAACCAAACCCTCTGAGGAGGAAAGACTGGAAAGAACTGGGCAGGTTTAGCCTTGAGAAAAGAAGACAGAAGGGAGAGAGGAGAACCTTCTTCAAATACTCAGAAAGGTCATCATGCAGAAGAGGGGCAGGATCTGTCCTCGATCGTCCCAGAGCGCAGGACACACACCCATGGGCTCAAGGGACAGAAAGCCAGGTTTTGGCTGAAGATCTGGAAAATCTTCTCAAATGTTAGAGCGGTATGACAAGGGAACCCGTACCCTTGAGAGGCAGGGAGCGCTCCCAACGCTGGAGGCCTTCAAGGAGAAATGGGACCCCCACCCTCTCGGATCTGCTTTGACTTGGGTTCCTGCCTTGAGCAGCGGGTTGGACTTGATGGCCTTATAGGGACTGCTTCCCATTCAACGATTCTAGGATTCTCTCCACAGGTATAAAAACCTGCCTGCTTCGATTTCCAATGACCTGATCCAGCTTTTTCCGGTGGAGCCATCGAGAACAAGTCATATCCGTTTCTGGAGCAGCTGTAAAACTCGATAATCCCTCCTTCTTTTAACAAACCATCATCGTGGTTATGATGATCTGAAGGTCATTTGGCGGTGGACATTTTGTTTACGAGCCATCCATTCACCTCCTCTACATGATTAACAAACAACCCTGTAAAGCAGAGGAATATTATTGTAGCCGATCTTCCCAAAAGCTGAGTGAGGGTGTGTGAGAGAGTTTGCAAATTTTCTTCATCTTGTGAGTTCATCGCAGAAATGAGATTCGAAATGGGGACTTTGCAACTTTCTCCACTCCGTTTAGCCCTGTGCTGCTTCGTCAAGGAGCAGGAACTCTGTGTTTTCACCAGAGGTTAGCTCAAGGGTTTAGGCATCTGGCTCCCAGGTTGGGAGTTCGAATCCCCCACGGGACCTCTTTGACAGGAGCTGGACTGGATGATCCTTAGGGGTCCCTTCCAGCTCTTTTTTATTATTATTATCGTCTTCGTCATCCCACCCACCCCTAGCTTCTTTGGAAGGAGGAAATTAGAAGCTACTTATGAATCTTCTCTACGTGGAAAATCCTGAAAAAGGTCGCCATCAGGCAGAACAGATTTGACAGCACACAATGATGATGATTTCTATTAGGGAATACGCCAGATCTTCTGTCCCCCAAAATTAGTCCCCCCCCCAAAAAAGAGGATGAACCTTCATTGATCTGTAGTAACCTACAGTCGGGGGATCACTTTATCGGGATCAAGTCTCTTTACCCTGTCTGAGCTACACATTCGCAATCCACGAACACTCACATGGAGATGAAAGGTTAGGGTGCCGTGAGAGTCTGGTTTTGCTGTGGCTGAAGATGGCCTAATTTACAGAATTCTTTGTCAGTGAGATAATTTTTACAAAAATTAATGGTGCAGGCCGGGAGCTTGGCGATCCAAATACGCGATTCATCACTGCTGCAATCTATAAGTGCCAAAAAAAAAATGGAGGGGGTTTAGATTTTCATATTTATGTGATCTTTGACAGGCCTCCCTGGGAAAAGGACAGGATGCAGATGTTTCAGAGAGAGTGGGGCCTGCATTAGCTGTCGGTGGAATATATGGTTTCCTTCGTAGCCTGAGCAGAGGGAAAGAAAAGAAGAAGAAGTGGAAGAACAACCCACAAAGCTGGAAATTAGATTTAATTTATTTGGCCAAAGAGACCCTTATGGGTAGAGGGAGAGACAGAGATGTGTGAGGCTCCGGTGCAGCCTGGCGAGAAAGCTTTCCTCTCCTCCTCCTTCGATCCTGCCCCGAATGGGTTAACACTCCCTGGAGCAAATATGGGGTCGAGAACAGAGGAGGCTGCACGGATCTGCAGGAAGAATCCGGAAGGCTGCCTTGAGGAAGAGCCCAGTCAAGTCTGAAAGCTGGCACCCTTTGTGCCTTTAGAGAGTCCATCGGTTCATTCTAAGGGACAGCCGTCGGGTGGGTTTCGGAGGCTGGGTTTTGCCCCCCTGAGAGACAGCCGGGGATCAATATTGCTGGGCTCTCTGCCCTTTGGTTTTCCCCACCAGCCGGTTCCCTTTTAACCAGAGGTCAGTCCAGGACTTCCTGGTTCCAGTTGGGCCGGTGATGAAGGGGCCTGCGTGGCTCCTTCCCCTCCCCCTTCCTGCCAGTCCACCCCCCCCAAAAAAAACAAGCGTTCCTCCAACGACAGGCCTGAGGTTTCACGGGAGAGGAGAGGGGATGCTCTCCACTGACTTACCTTGCCCTGCAAACTTTGCAAAAGTTTGCAAGAAGTTGGAGGCTGGGTTGCAAAAGGGCAGGAACTGAGAGGCGGAAGCTGCATCGTCCCGGGACCAACTCTGCACTCTGCACCTCTCCTCCCCTTTCTCTTTGTGGGTGGGCGTTGCGTTGCAGGGGCGGGAAGAGTGGAGTAAGCATGAAACAGGAAGGGTCTGGAAAGAAAGTAGCTGGAGAGTTTCTGAGCCTAAAGAATTGTTTCTAACAAAAAACAACATCCAGCTGCCGGAAATCCCAGGGTTTCTGGTTCCAGAGCCAGAGGTTGGGAGTTCGAATCCCCCACGGGGCCGGCTGGACTGGATGATCCTTAGGGGTCCCTCCTGGCTCTGCTGTTCTGAGATACATATATTATATACTGTGGAAGCAGAGCCTCCCTATCTGGGGGTCCCTCCTGGCTCTGCTGTTCTGAGATTATATACATATATACGGTGGAAGCAGAGCCTCCCTATCTGGTCAAGGTCCGGACAGGCATAGCAACCCCTCGGGGTATGCGTCCCCAAGCTGTTGGCTGGAAGAGCAGCCAACGTGTGGCCTTCTGTGCGATGCGACACTCCAAATCCCATTAGCCCCAGCCATGCTACACTCCAAATCCCATTCGCCCCAGCCAGCGCAGCTCACAGGGCCCGATGATCAGAGCTGCCGTTCAGCCCCATTGAGAAGCCTGCCTGTTCCCTGGGCCCTGCTTTTCTGGATTTAAAATGCCTGGTTATTCCGCAATGTCATTTCTTTGCTGACCCGAGGTAGCTGGGAAATGTTTTTTTAAAAATCAGATGCAACTAAAAACTCACAAAGTGGCAGCATTAATAAAAGATGATGAAGAAAGCGCACACACAATAGTATGAACAAGATTCGTAATGTAGAAAGATTTCCAAAACTCTGGGGAAGCAGGCAGAAACAAATGTGGAGTCTGTCCAATTTAATTCCTCCCAGGAAGGCTTTTACTGTCACATGGAAGGATTTCTACAACCCCAGAAAACACACACACACACACCAAAAAAGAGGGTTCCAGTCTTTCCCCGCATGGGCGAGCCTCCATGCTTCTTGCCCTCTGCCTCGGGGCGTGAGTTGTTTCGAAAACCAACCGACTGGTTGCATGGCTTGTGAAATTACAGTTGGCAAAGATCCGTCCTGCCGTGAAGTTTTGGGGGCTTTACCCCAAAGAGTAATTTTCTTGCCGAAATCCGTCCTGCCATGAACTTTTTTGGGCTTTCAGTTCTCTGGCGCAAGCCTGAGGAAGCCACCCTGATGCCTGAAAGCTTGCAGATTATACCAAGATTTATTCATTTTTTAAAGGCCTCTAAAGGCAAGCGCCTACTCTTGTGTTTGCATTTTACTTAAAACCGAGGGACTGGCAGCCGGAGAGCCTGTTTCCAGCCGCACTCCATTAAGAAACGTGTGGACGGGAACCACAAACTTATTTCCCATAAGTCTAGATTCTGCAAGAAGAAAAGCCAACATAAATCACACCCTCTGAGCTTTGCTTACTTATATTTTATTTTCCCCACATAGCATGGGAGAGAAACAAGCAGCTACACAAAAAAATCCTGTACCCTTTTGCCACTATCCCCCTGACCCCCACCTCGGCACACCTAAAGTCCATTGCTTCTTATATTCCTTCCATTTCCTATATTTTTTGAGGACTCTCCCTTTCCTGGGCAGCCTTTCGGCTCCGCCTTTCACTCTCCCGCGACTGTTTCCAAGTTAGTCTGCAGCCACAATGAGGACTAGAAACACAGGGTTTTGAAGGGAAGGATGCCTTGATTCTAACACAGCGTCTTAAATTTCATCTTTGCTGCATTATGCTAACAGACAGATGCCACTATATATTCTGCTAATAGCTACTGCAACCAGGTATCACAGAAGGAGAATTCCATGTACATAGTTTGACTTAAAACTGAGCCCTTCCAGCTATTAAATGGTAAAATGACCCAGGATTTTAGGAAAGCAGGAATGCAGAGGGGCGGGGGCAAAGGAGGTTGTTCCAAACAGGAGATCTGCTTGCGGGGATGACAAGGCTTTCAAGTTTTCTCGGACAGATTCGCATCGGGTCCTGGGAACAGGGAGAAAGAATCAAGAAAAGGCCAGACACTGGTTGGGTTGGGTTTTTCCTCTGGCTCTCCTGGCCCAGCAAGCCCCCCCCTAAAAAAAAACACAAAACTTCGGTTCTCCTTTGAAAAATCGGGGAGGTGACCTCGAGGGGGCGGCAGCCAGGAAGACCCTGGGCAAAAGCGAAGCCTGCTGGACAAGTTGGAACAAGGACGGGAAAGACCTTCAGCCCCGGGGAGAGCTTCCATGTCGGTCCGATCTGCTTTGACTTGGAGTCTTGCCTAGAGCAGGGGGTTGGAGTGGATGGCCTCAGGGCCCCCCTTCCAATGCCGTTATTCTGTGATGAACTCCGGAGAGGATTTTGCGCTGGCGTCCCACAGACAGAACTGGGAGAGCCCCCCAGGTGCCTTGCCCGTGTGGGTTTTTGGACGCCGGCCTTTTCGTGACGAGCGTCGGCACCCGGGGGTTGATCCACCGCAGAGGGGGTCCCTATGCGTGCACGCTGGAGTGAAATGCCCCTCCACCTGAAGCACCAGAGCCGGGAGCGAAAGATCCGGGGGCGAGTGGGGGGGG